GCTGAAACCAAGAGTCAGACCCTTAACCGACTGAGCCACCCAGGTGCCCCAATAATTAGCCAAGTATTTTAAGTCCATTTTTGGTTCATGATTTTAAAATCATGCTGTCTGGGTAGAGAAGAATGCTTATACTCCTGTTCAAGAAGGCAAATGTGTAGGCTGGCATTTCCTTAAAAGCAATATTAAAATATTTCTTTTTTTTTAAAAAGATTTTATTTATTTAATTGACAGAGAGAGAGAGAGAGACAGAGAGAAAACACAAGCAGGGGGAGTGGGAGAGGGAGAAGCAGGCTTCCCGCCAAGCAGGGAGCCCGAAGCGGGGCTCGATCCCAGGACCCTGGGATCATGAACCAAGCCGAAGGCAGTCGCTTAACCAACTGAGCCACCCAGGTGCCCCAATACTAAAATATTTCTATTTATTCAAGTTTGCGACATTAGGGAGATGAAACTGTGTAGAAGCACTGTCTAGAAAGCATTGTTAAGTAATAGAAGAGGTAATACTAAGAGGTAGGTAATGGAAAAATTATCTTAACATTGTTTACTCTTCCGTAGGCTGACATGGAACTGTTGAGTACTGAAATGAAGTCTCCTCATGACAATTCTATGGTGTTAGAGAATTACTTTTTTGGAAGATGGGATAGACTGTATCTCAAGTCCCTTCTAAGGGAAACATTCCTGAAGAGCCAGTTTGAATAAATTAATTAAAGTTTGAAGCACACTACTCCGCATAGGAACTAAAATATTATTTCTTGAAAACTTTTTCACTTTACAATAATTTAACTAGTGTTTTATAATATATAGAGTGGAAAAATCCCATTTGGAAAGAGTTCTAGAATCTTGAGCATGTGAAAAGATGTATATAGGATAATGATAAATAAAATATCCCATCTAGTTGTCAATGAAGATTCTGGTTTCCACCATTTCTCTCACAGAAGCTATTCCATTTGTGACATGTTTTCAAATTTGCATTCATTATTAGCCTTGACTGCCAAACCCAGTACTCCCATGAGGCCATATCCAATTTGAATGCTGAAAAACTGCTAGCACTTAAAATTCGGCCTGAAGTTAACTAATTTGCTTGTGATTTGCCTTGCATCCGGTCTGAGAAGTTATCTTGCTAACATAAACAGATTAAAAATAACTTCATAGAACTTTATATTGAACTAAAATATTAGCTTCTAAATTGGCTGGACCTGACCTGTATGACATTTATGAACTTGTAGAAAACAGAATGCACCTTCCAAATAGTAATTGGAAAATTTAATTATGAATTTATACTTTTTTATACTTTGAACTTAACATTACTTATGGAAATGCAACTCATTATTACAATGGCCAGATTCGCATACAGCAATATCGAGAGTGAGAAAATAATTCAGTTTAGGGAGAAACGATTGTTTCAACATTTAACTAGATATATATGGGAAAACAACATGGTAACTAAGAGCTTGGGCTTTGGAGTCAGACGGACTTGTCTGACTTTGGTCTGGTTTTGATTTTGGCTGTGCCCTTTCATTTGGTCCTTCATCCATTTTTTAGTATTTAACTGAAACCCAGTCACTGGGGACATAGTGGTGAACAAAACAGGCATTTTCCTGCCTCCTGGGGACCTCATAATCTAGCAGGGGAAGTAGATATGAAATAACTAATCATATAAATAATAGTTATAATATGAAAGATAAGGACTGGCTGCTATGAAATCAAATAACACAAGAACTCATTTAGATTGAGGCTTGGGAAGGCCAATATAAGGACTGAAAGCAGGCTATAAGGTGTTTGGGTAGAGGAGCCAGAGTAAGAGAGATTGATAGAGGAGGAGAGGGGAGGGGAGGGGAAAATTCAGAAAAATACAGCTGTAAGATTTGATTAGATTTTTTTCCTGTTTGAATCTAAATTTCCTTGTTATAGATAGCAGTAACAGTTTCACATAGTTGCTCTTGGAATTAAGTAACATGGTATTTGAATCATGCTTAATACAGACCTAGCATGATAAGTATTTACTACCATAGGAATGGAAATAAGCAAAGAGGGGCTAATCGTTGCTTAAAGAGCTTCAGAGAAAAGTTCCACATTTATGCTAATTTTAGAAATGAGTTATTTATTACAGTCACATCTGAAGGAAAAGCTCTTAATGTTTTCTGACTAATGAGTGAATTTAAGTGCCTTATGTCAGCGAGGTTACAGAATAAAGATACTGAAGTTATAGAGAGTCGACTGATGTAATTTCCCATATATAAAACCTTGTATATCTGGTCTGTAAAACCTTGAGATCAAGATTGGCTGTTGCTCAGGCCCTAACAAGCTTCTAAAGGCAGGACGAGTTAAAGAAATAATTGCAGACTTACTAGCTAAGATATTTTCATAACAAGATTCAGAAAAATTAGAAATGAAATAGGAATGGACCTTCATCCTAACAAGGATTGAGATTCATAATTTTGGTTCCTTCAAGGGAAGCATTTTATAAATGTTTTATACTTTTATCCTTATCTAACAAGATGTGGATGAACAATTCATGGCCTTTCCTCCCCCTTGGTCAACTATCTCCTTTCCTCTCCAGCTTCTTCTAAAGCTCATATTTCTATTCTAGGTTGATTTCTAGCCAGGGCTGGTTTTAAAAACATGAAGTTTATTATTTTCTATTTTTATAAGAGATGAGTGAAATTCCACCTATACTTTTACTACTATTGCTACTATTTCTTCTTCTTTTTTTCTTAGTGAAGTCTTTTTTTTTTTTTTTTAAGATTTTATTTACTTATTTGTCAGAAAGAGAGAGAGCAAGCATGGGGAGTTGTAAGCAGCGGGAAAAGCAGGTTCCCCACTGAGCAAGGAACCTGATGTGGGGCTCGATCCCAGAACTCTGGGATAATGACCTGAGCCAAAGGCAGATGCTTAACCAACTGAGCCACCCAGGCGTCCCTCACCTGTACTTCTTCTAAGGGGCCAAGGTTTAGGTTTAGGGCTAGTCAGGTGTTATTATAAATAAGTAAGTGCAACTAGGTATTTTTATGTTTGGTATGCTAACCTTAGAGATGTGAACAAAGGGGAATAAGCCTTTCCATTCTGTTGTTCATCTACTCCTCCATCCATTCATTTATTTAACAAATATTGAATGGATAGCCTCAACAGACATTTATGGAGGTGCTCATCATATCCTAGGAAAGGTACCTGGCACTAGGGATACAAATATAATTAATTTCTAGGTTCTGCCTTCAAACCCACAACCTTGTAGCCAAATCATTTATTCAGTTACTAATACTCAACATGTATTTCATAAGTGCCTTCTCTGCCCAGCATTGTTACAGACACGGGGGATGCAGTGCTGGGAAACAGACATGAGGTCTACCCTGGTGGAGCTTATATTCAAGGGGGAGACCTAAAAACAAGTGTAGAAGGTAAGGGCTGTGGTCCCCAAAGTGGGTTGATGGCTACAGAGGGTGCACAAAATTATTTATGAGAGGTTCATTAAGAAAATATTTCAATTTTGGGGCACCTGGGTGGCTCAGTCGTTAAGTGTCTGCTTTCAGTTCAGGTCATGATCCCAGGGTCCTGGGATTGAGCCCTGCATTGGGTTCCCTGCTCAGCAAGAAGCCTGCTTCTCCCTCTCCCACTCCCCCTGCTTGTGTTCCCTCTCTTGCTGTCTCTCTCTGTCAAATAAATAAATAAAATCTTAAAAAAAAAAATCAAACTAAGTCTATTTAGGGCAACATGAATAGATCTTAAAAACACTGTTTTTAAAATAAATGAGAGGAAAACTAACATACTATTTATGGTTAAGAATATATGTTAAAATAATATATCTTCTATAGGTATAAGTAAAAATGGAAAAAATATTTTTAAAGATTTATTTATTTATTTGAGGGGGGAGAGAGAGAGGGAGTAGGGGTCGGGGGGGCAGAAGGAGAGGGAGAAGCAGACTCCCCACTGAGCGCGGAGCTCAACACGGGGCTCTATCCCAGGACCCTGAGATCATGATCTGAGCCAAAATCAAGAGTCAGACACTTAACGGACTGAGCCACCCAGGCGGCCCCCCAAAAATATTTTTTTAATGGTCTGGTGGATGCTCACCAAACTTATCTAATAATTACCTCTGGAATGGAGGAAGAGGGTCCAGATTAGAGATCACAGGGAAAGGAAATTGTAGCTCCATTTGTGATATTCCAATCTTTAAAAGAAAAGTGACTCTAATTTTAATATTAAGATTAATTTCTTAATTAAGTCAAAGACCACTGAAAGTATGCTTAAAGAGTCCGGTTTACTAGATTCTCAATTTTCACATCCGAATCTTCAAACTTAAGAAACCGAATATTATGTTTGTGCATTCCTTCCTGGCTGCAGAGGCAACAGGAAACCCCAAACTTGAACCTCAGTGTGCAGAAAGAAGGGAGAGGCAGAAAGCAGAATCACTGAGTTCCCAGCAATACTTGGAATGCATTTGTTACGCAAGTACAACGTTTTGACTACATTTGGGACAGGAAGTTCATCATGAAAATAAGTGGAATATAAATAATGTTATAGCCAGAATAGTGTCTTCAAGGATTAAAATGAGAATTCAGTGATTTCTAATGTTTTCATTAACTGTAAAAAGTCTCCAACCAACCAAGGACAAGCTGGAGGGAGAAAGTGACCTACATAGCTTGTGTGTTGCGCTAGATCCCTGCTTTCTCTTCCAGGGTGGCCGGCCCTTAGCTCCGCCCAAAGAAAACTCAATAAAAATGCTGCAACTTCATCCCTTCTAGTGGCATTGTTCTGTGAGAAGGAAGCCATGAGGTCCAGCCTACACATTCCTGATAGCAACAAAGCCTCCACAGAGGCCTGCTTTGTAAAATAATAATAATAATAATATAGCAGGGAAATGTTAGCAATATATAATCAATCCCTCCAGGTTTCAGTTTAGAAAGAAATCAAATCATGTGTCACCTTCCTGTAAGAACCCTGCAAGGAGACAAAGCAAGCTTCACCATTAAGTTTTTAGAATTAATTTTTCTCTTTTTTGTGTCCAGGGTAGATTGGATTAACGGCAGATTTCAAACCTTAAACCTCAGAGTTTAGCCATTCCCGTGGCTTATCAAGAAGAGGATAAGGATGTCCTCGGCGCGCTCTGTAGGACAGACAAAAGTGAGTAGACTCCCATTTCGGAAGCCCTTCTTTCTGAAACAGAGAGCCCATAATCTCCTTTGTGGCCAGAGCTCATCCTGCCTTCTGCCCAGCAGCTGCATCACATCTCAGTGCGCAGCAGGGGCCCGCCGGGCAAGGTGGAAGAGGGACCGGAGCCAAGGAAGAAAATCACCTAATGGACAGCGTACGCGCCTTCCTAGCAAACCTGTCCTCTTCTCATATTTGCAGTTTAGAAGTCTTCCTAACCCATTTTTCCTCTAATTTTCTGCAGAACCTGACCGATCAAAACTCCCTCTGACCACAGTGTTGTCTTTCAGTTATTCTCCGTAGCAACCGAGGCTTCTCCTTCACAGCTCGTAACACAAGAGCAAGTAATAAATTACATGCATAATTAAGTATTTAATGCCTCCTTCCCGCAGAAGACTGTGATGTTCGCTAAGTTGTCCCTCGCACTACTCAGGACCTTACTGAAAATGCTCAGTAATTATTTGTAGAGTAAGTGAATGAATGGATCGATGGATGACCCCTCTTTTTACCTATACCCTAGTCCTCCCATCTGATTCACCCTGCAGTCTCATCCTGTTCTCATCTGCTGCACCAAATTCCATCAGCCCCTGCGGCTGATTGACGTCTGCTGAGCCCCTGCCTCTGCAGCGGGCTGGTTTCGGAAGCCCACAGATTCTTCCACCCTGCCCCATTTCAGCCTGTCCCTCTCCAGTAGCATTAACAAACCAAAGTTGCCTTCCTTTTGACTGTGCAGGTGTTCTGAAACATATTCCCCAATAACCGAATAACTTCTACACCATGGCAGGATTATAAACTAAAAGCAAGTCGCCACCCTGCTAGTGTTTCCCATAATCTTTGCAGGTTACCAAAGGTCTAGAGCTCAGAATAATTTCTAACCTCCCTCCCAAGTTTCAGATTTATTTATCCTCCAATGTCAAAAAGACAAAAGAAAGTAAATGCAGTAAAGAAATATTAAAAGAGGGAAAGCATGAGATGATGGGAAAGAGTATCACACATGTGCTCTTGGGGCTGTGCACTGGCACGAGGTAGCCCCACTGTTTGACTTGGCTCTTCCAAGCAGATCCTCAGGGGTCACACAATCCACTAGGACCACAAGGTAATACAAACAAGTTGCTCGGTAATGACACAACGGTTCGCTACAGGAAACCATGATAAATTTCAAGACCCATGAAGCAGTTCAATGGCCTAACATGAGCCCTTGTTCAGTAAAAGCACTTTTATTTTTTTTAATTTTTTAAATTCTATTATGTTATGTTAGTCACCATACAATACATCATTAGTTTTTGATGTGATGATCCACGCACAATCCATTGTTTTTGTATAACACCCAGTGCTCCCTGCAGTACGTGCCCTCCTTAATACCCATCACCAGGCTAAACAATCCCCCCTTCCCCGTCCCCTCTAAAACCCTGTTTGTTTCTCAGAGTCCATAGTCTCTCATGGTTCGTCTCTCCCTCCGATTCCCCCCCTTCCTTTTTCCCTTCCTTCTCCTAATGTCCTCCAGGCTATTCCTTCTGTTCCACAAATAAGTGAAACCATATGATAATTGACTTTCTCTGCCTGACTTATTTCACTTAGCATAATCTCCTCCAGTCCCATCCACGTTGATGTAAAAGTTGGGTATTCATCCTTTCTGATGGCTGAGTAATATTCCATTGTATATATGGACCACATCTTCTTTATCCATTTGTCTGTTGAAGGGCATCGTGGCTCTTTCCACAGTTTGGCTATTGCAGATGTTGCTGCTATGAACATTGGGGTGCATATGGCCCTTCTTTTCACTACATCTGTGTCTTTGGGGTAAATACCCAGGAGTGCAATTGCTGGGTCATAGGGTAGCTCTATTCTTAATTTTTTGAGGAACCTCCACACTGTTTTCCAAAGTGGCTGTACCAACTTCATTCCCACCAACAGTGTAAGAGGGTTCCCCTTTCTCCACAACCTCTTCCAACATTTGTTGTTTCTTTCCCTGTCCATTTTTGCCCTTCTAACTGGTGTAAGATGGTATCTCAATGTGGTTTTGATTTGAATTTCCTGATGGCTAATGATGATGAACATATTTTCATGTGTCTGTTAGCCATTTATATGTCTTCTTTGGAGAAGTGTCTGTTCATGTATTCTGCCCATTTTTTGACTTGATTATTTGTTTTTTGGGTGTTGAGTTTGAGAAGTTCTTTATAGATCTTGGATACCAGCTCTTTATCTGTAGTGTCATTGGCAAATATCTTCTCCCATTCTGTGGGTTGCCTCTTTGTTTTGTTGACTGTTTCCTTTGCTGTGCAGAAGCTTTTTATCTTGATGAAGTCCCAAAAGTTCATTTTTGCTTTTATTTCACTAGCTTTTGGAGATGTATCTTGAAAGAAGTTGCTGTGGCCAATGTCAAAGAGGTTACTGCCTATGTTCTCCCCTAGGATTTTGATGGATTCCTGTCTCACATTGAGGTCTTTCATCCATTTTGAGTTTATCTTTGTGTCCCCAAACCAGGCAGAGAACCCATCAAAAAGGAGAATTTCAGACTGATATCCCTAATGAATATGGATTCCAAAATCCTCAACAAAATCCTAGCTAATAGGATCCAACAATACATTAAAAGGATCATCCACCACAAACAAGTGGGATTTATCCCCAGGACACAAGGGTGGTTCAACATTCGCAAATCAATCAATGTGATAGAACACATTAATAAGAGGAGAGAGAAGAACCATATGGTCCTCTCAATTGATACAGAAAAAGGATCTGACAAAATACAGCACCCTTTCCTGATTGAAACTCTTCAGAGTATAGGGATAGAGGGAACATTCCTCAAGTTCATAAAATCCATCTATGAAAAACCCACAGCGAATATCAACCTCAATGGGGAAAAGCTGAGAGCGTTTCTGTGAAGATCAGGAACACTTCAAGGATGCCCACTCTCACCACTATTGTTCAACATAGTACTAGAAGTCCTAGCAACAGCAATCAGACAACAAAAAGAAATAAAGAGTATTCAAATTGGCAAAGAAGAAGTCAAGCTCTCTCTTTCCGCAGATGACATGATACTTTATGTGGAAACCCCAAAAAACTCCACCCCCAAATTACTAGAACTCATACAGCAATTCAGTAATGTGGCAGGATACAAAATCAATGCACAGAAATCAGGTGCTTTCTTATACACTAACAATGCAACTGTAGAAAGAGAAATTAGAGAAACGATTCCATTTACAATAGCACCAAAAACCATAAGATAGGGGCTCCTGGATGGCTCAGCTGGTTAAGCGACTGCCTTTGACTCGGGTCATGATCCCGGAGTCCTGGGATCGAGTCCCGCATCGGGCTCCCTCCTTGGCGAGGAGCCTGCTTCTCCCTCTAACCCTCCCCCCTCTCATGTACTCTCCCCCTCTCTCTTATTCTCACTCTCTCAAAATAAATAAATCTTTAAAAACAAAAACAAAACCAAAAAAACCAAACCATAAGATACCTCAGAATAAACCTAACCAAAGAGGTAAAGGATCTGTACTCTAGGAACTGCAGAACACTCATGAAAGAAACTGAAGAAGACACAAAAAGTTGGAAAAATATTCCATGCTCATGGATCGGAAGAATAAACATTGTTAAAATGTCTATGCTACCCAGAGCAATCTATACCTTCAATGCCATCCCGATCAAAATTCCAATGACATTTTTCAAAGCGCTGGAACAAACAATCCTAAAATTTGTGTGGAATCAGGAAAGACCCCGAATCGCCAAGGAAATGTTGAAAAAGAAAAACAAAGCTGGGGGCATCACGTTGCCCAATTTCAAGCTATATTACAAAGCTGTGATCACCAAGAGAGCATGGTACTGGCACAAAAACAAGACACACAGACCAATGGAACAGAATAGAAAACCCAGGTATGGACCCTCAACTCTATGGTCAAATAATCTTCGACAAAGCAGGAAAAAACATGCAATGGAAAAAAGACAGTCTCTTCAATAAATGGTGCTGGGAAAATTAAAAGCACTTTTATAGCAGAGTCCAAGCAATGGGGTCCAAGTAGACATCTCTCTGAGGTCCTGGTTTTTCAAGGATAATTTTGAAGTCGAGCATAGAATGCATGGATGCACATTCTTCAGCCGATCCCCTGAATACCATTTGACACCATTAATTTGGTTAATATCGGAAACATATTTCTGAACCTCTTGTCTGGGTATGAAGACTGTGTTCCTCATCAGCTGGATCCAGCTTCCTGCTGAGACCAGTGAAGTATATCCTGTCAGTTGAGAGTAGAGGGCTCATCTATCTAACTCCAACTTACCAAACCTTCAACTGTCATATATTCTAAACTGATGTAATAATTGTAAGGCATTTCAACATGAGGCTTGAAAATGGCCTGGCCAGAGCTTCATCCAAAAATAGATGTAGGCTGGTTCAGTTGCCTCCTGGCTATTGTCCCTTCCTCCCATCTTTGTACTGATCTAAGCTTTTCAACACCACAGAGTAGAAGTGATGACATGCAGACCTGACCGGCTCCCTCCCCTGGCAGAGAAAGGCTGTCCTCTGTAGACAGGTAAGGAATAGACAGATACCTTAAGTCAGCTGAATCACAGTACCCGGGTCTAATATCTAGACACACCTCAGTCACATGGAAAAATTAGGTTTGTCTAAGCTTGCCATGTATCTTTAAGCATAACTGTTTCTTGCCTGTGGTACCTGCTACCCTTCTTCCCAGGCTCCTCTACTTGACCAGAGTTGGAATTAGCTTTTCTGCAGAGCTTTCATGGGACACCCAGGCAGAAATTTTTATTCCGATTACCACTCCTGTTCTCATCCTCATCTTGTTTTATCTATTCTGGTTACTATTTCTCTGTGCAATAAAAAAAAACAGTCACCCACATTATTACCAATCAGAAATGTTACTGATCTATTTTGGTCCATTTCTTTATAGTACTGTTCCTATATGTATATATTGTGTGCTTTTACAAAAAACTTATTATTGAAGCATAGTTGGCATACA